ATTTCTGTGGATGCACTCAACTATGTTTACCACTGGATAAGCAAAGAAAATTTTGTTTGAAAAAAAATAAGCTCTAAGAAAGAACTCCAAGAAGGAAGGATATTATACATATTAAATAGCACTAAGCCATTGAGCTTTTCACTGTTGAAATGGAGACAGTAACCCAAACCCTAAAATACAGCTTAAAATGTAGGTGTCACTCAATTAGCCTCAAAATCATCAAAACCTGTTTCTTCAGGGACATAGAGGATTGTCACAGTCCCAATAGAAGCTTATTTTATAACCTTCAGTTTATACAGAAAAATATTTTTTTAAAAAAAGGCTAATTACATTCTAAAAATATTTTATGAAAGCAAACAGCAAAAGTGGAAAAAATGTAGTGTTGCTACAGCATAATAGGACAGCAATAAAAGACTAAATTAAGCAAAAATTGAGATGCAATACCAGATAAGATTTCCCAAGCATGAAATCTACTGAGCTTTATCAATCTTGCAAATGAAGATACTTGAATGTATTGAAATTCTAAAACCTGTCTGGACAAAACAACAAAAGAAATGTACTGTGGGGAATAATTCTGCAGCACTCACTGAGGAATGGATAAGTAGTTCTTTTTTTATGTCTAACATTTGGGAATATATTAACCAAGGAAATTCACTGTCTTGAAGCCACAGATATTGTCTCAACAAGAAATCAAAAAGAGACTGCATTTTGACCATAGTATTAGAAAAATGTAAATATCTTTTTCTAACCTGTACTCAAATAAAGAACATATGAAGAAAAGGAAACCCAGAGGATATCATGTTTATTTTTTCCCAGATATATTCAGCAGAACAAAAGAAAAAGTCATGGGTTACAAATTGTAATACTAAAAAGTAATCATATAAAAGCAGTATAGCATTGCTTCTTAGATCTACCTTGAACATGCATCTCTCCATTTTTTTTTCCAAGAAAAAGGTTTTTACCACTAATTAAACAGGTAATAGCAGTCTCACTGCAATTTACTCTGCCTTACTATACCTTCAACAGAGTTGTTACATAAATTGTGACCGCAGAAGTTTTCTTCACTGCTGATGTGTGAATTAAAAGGCATATATCTTCTTTAGAATTGCATATATCATCGGAGGCATCCATGCCAAAAGTTAAACAAATATGACCATTATATACACAGATATAATAAAATTTGAATTCCATGGGATTTGAATTACTCTGTAGGACACATTACTCTCAAAACAAAACAAAAAAAACAAGCAAACAAAAACAGTTGAAACTGAAATCAGTGATTATGAGGATCAGAACAGTGGAATCAAAGGGTAACCAATCAAGGATACCCTTCTGAGAATCAAGGGGTAACAAAATGGTCATGTTTAAGTTCATCTTTCTGAGAGCAAAAAATTGTATGTTATTCAGGAACAACAGAAAAAATAGCTATTCTGTTGCTACTATACTGAAAATCATCACAAGGAATACTTTTAATAGATAAAATTTAAAGCCTGCATGAACTTAAGGAAAAATTTTTTAACAGTGAGGGTGACAGAGCACTGGAACAGGCTGCCCAGAGAGGTTGTGGAGTCTCCTTCTCTGGAGATCTTCAAAACCCGCTTGGATGCAGGCCTGTGCCACGTGCTCTAGGTGACCCTGCGTGTGCAGGGGGGTTGGACTAGATGATCTCTAGAGGTCCCTTCCAATCTTAAGCATTCTATGATTGTGTGATCCTATGCATTAAAGTGAGAAGAGGATATGTGAAAAACGCTGTCCTGACAAACAATTTGGAGGATTTAGACACTGGAAATTACTAATACTAGAAATGCAAAAGTTTTTGACTAAACTATCAGAGATAATACGTAAGAGCCCAGGAAGAAGAAATAAAACTGAGATACGGTTAGGCTGATAATAGGAAATGTAGTCATCTTAGAAAGAGAGACTTTACATGGTGACAAGTCTCACAGCTCGTCATGAGTATTCCAGAAGTTAATGTCAAACCTCTTTCATTGAAAAGTGCACAAGTTAGATTAAAGAAATAGTCTAACAAAAACCAAAATGACAGAATAATTTTCTATTATTTTGTTTAATAAGTGATAGATCTTGATAGATGTTGTTCCCCAGGGTTTGTGTGCAAATTTTTCTTCTTCAATAAAATTATGATTAATTCATAGATTAAAATCTATTACATATTCTTTCAATTTAATACAGTCTTCTTTCTGCTGAGCAAAATATTTGTACCATAACTTGACCACTGCAGATACAAAACTGATTTTCCAGGATATCTTATACTAAAGCATCTGGAAAGCACCACAACAATTTTCCAGTAGCTCTAATGTTCAACCAAGAAAATGCACAGCAGGTCTATTTGCAGTCAGTGGGCTTCTCATGTTCTTCTGCACTCTAAGTCTATACAACCTGAACATCATGTGAAAATAAGCCATTTTCTAAGAGAAAATAATTAACATGATGTGCCAAAAAATGCCTTATGATTGCTGGGATAAGAAGTGAGCTCTAGATGTGTCCTGCAGTCCTACAGTGCTAGAGTAAATATTCCTACTTTTTTTCACATTCTCAGTTCAGACAATAACCTATGGAAGCAGCAAAACAGGCAAAGTAAAATGGAGAGTTAAGTCTCGGCGAAAAGAATTGCCATTCAGATCCATTCTAGTTGCCAGAAGCCTCAATAGTGTGAAGCTGGTGGGAAGTGAGAGACTCAGCCTACTACCTCTAAGAGTCTGTAAGGTTGTGAAAAAAATGTTTGGAGAAGCAAGGCGGAGTTGAAAATCCTGAGAAAAAGAGACAACACAAGAGTCTAGGATATTTTACTAGGAGTAAAGGTTAATGTTCGCCTGCTCTTCAGAACTTGATACAAGATATCTAGGTATACGTAGAAGTTAATGTGAAAACTGGGAGCACATTCCTGTTGGCTTTTATCTGGAACATTGTCTGCTATGCTGGGAACCGTTGCACGCAGTGTGAAGTTGGTGCTGGGAGCAAACTGCTATCTCATAGAGCATTTCTTATATTCCATAGTTAGTCTTGCACAAGAGGCATATGATTTAAGAAATGCTGACTTGTCTGTAAGATACTAGCTAGGCATAATTTAGCATATTTAGGGTGTCCTTGAAAATAGCAACAATATATATCTGGAGGGATTACAACCCAAAACTGGAAGAATGTTACAACTATTTTAATCGTAAGAAGGCTTTATTATGAAGTTAACAGGTTCATCATGACAGAATATTCATTATGGTTCTTGCTTGGTGCTGGATTCAAAAGCATTACTAGAAAACACTGTGAGGAAGCTGAAGTTGTGGAAGAGCTGAGTCAAGGGAGGTCAGGTGATTTGCATTCAAATGAAAGAAGCAAGAAATTTTCCTTTCTATTCTAAGATTTATTCCCTTGCCATAGACCTTACACATGTAGCTCAACCCTTATTTTAATTTGTGAAAAAAAAAATATCCTAAAGAAGGTATAAAAGTGGCAGTTGAATGTCCTCCCTGTACAGAGGGCTCAATAGATTGGGAAACAACAATTAGGGCATGCTGCAGTATGGTAATTTTACACTGATTCAGTGTCTTTTCTGGATTAGCTGCAACCTTATATTTTAAATAGGAGATTTGTATAATTCCTTATTCAGCTCATTGCATTCACTGTGTTTACTGGGCATAGCTCTACATTCAGCCCTTAATCTTTCTGAGCCTCAGCAACATCTTGTTTCTTTCTTTAATTACCTACCTTCCATGGAGTCTGTGAAAATTACTGTAGGTAGTATTTGTGATGTGTTTTAGTACTGGATTTAATTCTGAATAAAATATTACTGAACAGCCATACACCTAACCAAGTGAGGTATAATGGGAAGCAAGGACTAAGATTCAGGACCCCTTTTCGTAAGGAGGAAAAAGGGATCGAGCAGTTCTGTGAAGAGCTGGATGCAGGTATTGACAATAAACTTTTTCCTAGTATGTTGAACTAAATCAGATCATGAAGGAGCCAGATAATAGCTTTTCCCAATTCCTTACATTTCTTCGTAATTTTTCAAACTGGAGCATATTTAGAAATAAAATCTAGGCGGGTGGGCAGGACAGGATGATAGAAACGCCAGGCATAAGAGCAAGTGGAGAGGCCAGCAAAAGGGCAAGTATCGGTGAGTAAGCAGACTCAGAGAGCAGGTAGGGGACAGTGTAACCAAGAAGCAGGTGAAAAGGCAGGAGGGCAATGCCAGCCATTCAGCGAGCCCGTAAAGCAGTACCGAGCAGGCAGCAGATGTGCCAAGCAGCAGAAGACCAGCTCCCCGGCGGCAGCAGATGCACTGAGCAGGCAGCTGATGGCAGGCACTCAAGGTGGAGTCGGGCACAGGGCGGCAGAAGGCCAGTGCCCGCGTGCCATCAGACACGACGGGCGCAAAGTAGGCAACACGTGCCGTTCAGCAGATGGACAGGGCAGCGGGAAGTCACTATCAAGCAATTAGCTGGTCAAGAGGCAGTGCCAGACCACCAGGCAAAGAGCCGAAGCTGCAGGAGGACAGTGCCAAAAGGGCAGCGCGCAGAGAGAGCGCAACGAGTGCCAGGCATCCTCAGGCAGGTAAGGCAGCAGCAGACCAATGCCCGGGAATAATCAGATGCAACTGCCAGCAAGGAGGAAGCGTAAGTCTGTCAACAGAGTGACAGGCCAGCAGGGTGACAGTGCTTTTCCAACAACTGAGGATACCATGAATTAAACAGCCTGAAGAATGCAGATGCTCACCCTCTGGTAATACCATTAAGATCAATAGAGCGAACCATGAAAATCCACAAGAGAATAGCACACAAATGGAAACAGCAGATGAGTCTGGCCCTAGTGCTTGGGGAGGCCATGGGACCTTCCTATAAAACAAAAATATGAGAATCCACAAGAAAATCAAACAAATGGGAAAAATGTGTTTGGAAACTGTTTCTGATGATGATTAAAAAAAGCAAAAAAGTACTAGCAAAGAATTAGTTTGGAAATGATTGGGTGGGATTGAAGATGTTGCTTACCCCTCTCTGGAGCCCACATAATGGGAATGTTGGGAATTTCTGCAGCAGAAAAACAGAAGAGAAAAGGGATTTCTGACTCCCAGTTCAAAGAAAGCATGTCAGTTTAGGACTGGGTAACCTCTTTGGGCAAAAAATAAGAATTCAACTGAACTTTGCCCATCCCCAGCTACATGCCTTTACTGATGTTTCCAAGAAAATTTAAGAAGACCACATTACTTTTATCTCACAACATCCCACCCTTATTCCCCAAAACCACACTTACCTCTAGTGGAAGGTATATGAAAGGGGAAAAGGGATGATCTTGTGAGCTCATTCCCAAATCCACTCCAAAATAGCTTGTGAAGGTGAAAAGCAGTACCAGCGAGCCAATACAGGCCATTTAAGAGATAAACTGAAGAAGTTAATTAACTGATAACTCATCACTAGTGTAGGTTGGTGTTTCAAGTTGGCCTAGGTAAACCAACACTTTAAAAGAATTAGACTGGTGAGTCTTGTGGGGTAATCTTCTTCTACAGCAACAGTTGCAAAATATGAAACTTAACACCACTATTTTACCTTGAACCTACTGTTCTCTTTACCTTTACTACTCTCTGACATTTAACTTTTTTTAAGCATATTAACCGTGTTTCAGAAATCTTAGCTGCTGCTCTATTTCAGAAACACATAATCAGTCCTAGAATGTGAGAACGGAGAAAATCCCCACAGTAATGAGATTCAGTAATTTCACTCATTTGTCATTTCTGCCGTGAGTATTTTTATTCAGCATCTTAGTCACTAGAAGTCAATCAACCAGGAACCAAGCTTCACTATTTCTCTTAGAAGTCCACATTTTATGTGCATTTATCTGCACATTAATTTATTCCAGTCACACTGAAAGCCTACATTTCACTTTGATAATGTAACAATATGTAACAAAAGCCCAGCTCTTCCCTCTTCTGCAAACTGTAGAGAACCTCGGCCACAGAAAGGAAACACTAGTTCTACTGTGCATTGCTGAATTAGCATTTGGGTTGGTGATAGAAACACTGTCCCTACAAATCTGCTGTGTATCTATATGTAATAAAGCTTTTAAGAAACGATATGGCAATAATAAGCTGATGGATCATTATTTATGCAGATTTTCTGGGTATTAACTCCTCTTCTTGCGATCTGAGCATGGCACAGGGATAATAGGGACTAATATGCCTTCAAATTGTGATCATAGAAGAGTAATTTCTTCCATATCAAATGCTGCTACTTGGACTTAGAACAGAGTAAGAGGAAATCTAGACAGAGGAGAACGAGAGATTTGTGCTATATAATTAATAATGACATAAGCTAGCCACTAATAACATACACTAAATGACTTGACTACAGTACATATTAATACCATAAAGTAAATTGGTACTTGAAACAAGTAATTGCAGTTGTATCCAATCATGGAATTTTGCGGCCAGCAGCCACAATACAACCAGAGATAGCTGTACCACATCAAGAGCAAAATCGCTAGCATCTGCTTTCCCCAAAAGGACATCTTTTGATGCTCAATGAAAATGAAGTAAGACAAACTGATGTCAGTGGACCATGAGACACCTTTCATTTCCAGAAGAAAACTGGACTTGATATGTACAGAAAGTTTAAACAGCTATAACAAATAAACATTAGACTACGCACCTCACTTCATTAATTTGGGTATTCTCATTACAAAATAATTGGGAAAAGGAATATATGCATGAAGCGACAAGTCAAAAATAATTGTGTTTTCTCACAATTGCTGTGTTTTTTCTTCTCTCACAGAACACACAATGAATTAGCATTTTGCTAAATAAGCTTCCCTGTTCTATATAGCAGCAATTAAGCAAAGCAGGCAATGAACAATTATAATCCTAAAATGACAAGCAGAAGCCAGCTACTTTCCAAGACTCTCCTATTTTCTCTTCAATTAGTGGCTGCAAGTGCTCCTGCACTTATACAGCAGGCAAACGAGAAATACTGGAGCAAATGAGAAATTTTCTACCTCTCAGTAAGCACTAGATTTAATAATAAACTATTCTAATAGGGAGACATTTTGCTATTCTGATGCAACATGAGAAATATCAGTCAATTTCCATTTCTGATGCATATTAAATACAAATTAGTATTTGTCCTTTTTTCAGTTGTCATTTCCTTAAGCTGCCCTCACATAGAAGCCTTTCTAATGTGTCTATGCTTTTCTTTAATTTTCTTTATATCAAGCTTCTATTAAAGTTTTTGTGACAGAGCATGACCAGAAATAAAAACAACATTAAGGGTGATGATTACATAATTATGGGCCTGACAATGTTTTCAAGATTATTTTGCCTTAATGTTTCATTTTATTCAGTTCTGTTATCTGTTGTGACAAGGTGCTCTAATGCAAAATTAGAAATGCTTAAAAGGAAGATATTCCAGAAGTTCCAAGCTGAATATTCCAGTTATCCAGTAGTCCTCTGGCATTCTCCCCCAGTTAGAATATATGATAAGAATTTCATCAAAATATCTTTAAATTCTGGACATCTTGACATAAAAAATAGAAGCAACAAAAAAGTAAGTAAAATATAGGTAAGTACATGTTTGAATACAGAGAGAGACATAGATTTCATTAGGCACTAAAAAAAGAAAGAAAGTGACATCTAATTTATAACCAACTCACCATATGTACAGCACAGTTTTTATGGCTTCTTCTTATTCAAGTTTAAAACACCAGCTTTCCCGACATTTTTGGAAGAGTATTTTTCAGATTAATAGTAGTAATCATTACGTTTTGTAATAGGAGAATGTGCACTTTGATTTAAAATATACGTATCTGTAAGAGTTAAATAGAATAGGTCTAGTCTTTGAAAATGCGACTTCCTGCTACATAGAGCGACAGGGCACAACTCTGTAACTTAGTGTCAATTAATATAAGATTATTAAAAGGATCTGGAAATGGATACTATATGCTTCTAACAGAGAAGTAAGTTTGCCCTCATGACAAAATACTGATCACTTCAGGATGCTGCTGATATACAGTTTTCAAAGCTAAATCTCAACTTCAGATCTCATACAGATACAGAAAATATTATTTTCTGCTGCTTTGAAAGTTTGCCTGCTTTCGTGGACGATGGACAATAAATTGGAAACTCTCCAACCATGAGAGGCACAAGACGGTTAGTTTTTATATAGAAAAATTACAGAATTTTAAGAAATTAAAGAATTTTTAATTCTTACAATTGTTAAGAATTTTCACTTAAATTCTGCGTTCTAGTATTAATTGTGGTCATTATAATTTCTATAGCCAGAGATTATTTCTAGACTTAACTGCATTGAGTTTCATGATGTTGAGATGATTTTCAAATAGGTTTTGCCACTAACATTTTTATATACCATATAAAACACATTCACCAGCCTAGAAAGTAATTAACACCCAAATAACTAATTATCAGAGGTAGCTAGAATAACTGAACTTAAAGAAACAGAAAACAAAAGGATTGTAGGATGTATCTAATGCTGCAGCTACAGTGCTAAAAATATCCAAGACAGCTAATTAAAACTGACAGAGGCATGTCTGTATGAAATGCGGGCATTACTGAATGAAGTGGGCATTTCACTTCAAAGTGAAGACCCAGTGCTGACAGAAAAAGAAACTTCTTTTTACTCCTGTGACAAGTATTACTCTTTTTGGTGTATTATTTGAGGAATTTGGGATCACCAGGGGATGAACCATTTGCCTGCCCACGGAATATGTAGTCTTCTTTCCACTTCCATTTTGAAATTATCTTGAAATGAAAAACCTTATTGCAAAATATAAGAGTGAGGTTTCCTGGCTTGTTACAGAAGTTTCATTTCTTAAGCTATATAAAACATTCAAATCATGTCTCTTGTTTTACTGTTTTCTTTTTTTTTTCCTCCCCCAACAGCATGCAAAAATTTCATACATATTGAAAAAGCAGAAACGGAATTAAGTTTACTAAGGCTTTGAAAAAGCTGAAACATGTCAAAATTTGATCCTCCGAAGCAAAGCCCAATTGGACTACTTGTCAGAAATTCTATTAATATTATTTTTAGGATATGATGATGAGCCTACTTTACATGCTAGGGTCAAATAACTATTAAAATAATATAATAGATAGTTGTTTCAGCACCCTTCAGCAGTATCATCAGACTTCTGCATTTTCAGAAAAGGGAGAGAGAAACGATTCATATAATCCTTCAGACTTGGGTAACAATTGCTTACAAAGTAATTTCAGGATTCATTGGATTAAAATTATCTTTCAGACACCATTTAACAGACACATAACATAAGGGTAGAACCTTTTTTGGCCTTTTGCACAGAATGACTGCATCATCCATAGCTTCTGTAAGGTGTGTAATAGGTCATACCTTCCACAAATAAAATCAGCTCTGATTTGACAGGATAAAAGCACAGACAATACAGGTCCTTTTTTTTTTCGGGAGAGGAGGGGTGGGGGGAGGAATTTATTCCAATGGTTAAACCCCCATCATTCAAAAAAAAAAAAAAAAATCCAAACCAACCCAATTAAAATCTTCTATTATACCTATTTTCTTACTGGACTTCTCTATCATCAACTGCTGTTGATCAACCTTTCTTCTGAAGGCTGAGTGTCCTTAGTGTCTGATTTGGTATTTCCATGGGAAAACAATAATGTACTTTAAACTAAGTCAATAGCTGCTAGTCTATGCTACCATAAACAAAACAGAGTTGCTTAAATCTCAAAGAAAATTTCTATCTGTCAAGTGTTCCCAGGTCTTTCTCCATATCCACTGTGTTAACTGAAACTTTCAAAAAAGTGAATGTCAGAACATGATGCATCTTTCCTATCATAGATGCATCAATTCCCTATGCAGAGAAAAAGCACACTCTGTATTCCTATTCCCTTCTTACTATTCACCATCTTTCTATTTCTCTATGTCCGGAAGGCTATAGAGCAACAAGTTGAGACACATGCACTTTTTCAATCCAGCAGATTAGCCAGATCCAGAGACAACGATGTCAGTTCAAAGCTGTTGCTTGTGCACTGAATATCAAGAATTTTATAAAA